TCTAGGTGTCAGGAAGGATATTTTTCAGAACATGTAACTCATCTTAAATTTTTCACAGCACAATGCTATCTTTATAAAACCCTCGTGAATTCCACCTCTCTTCTTGACAAATAGACGTGTGTTTATAAATAGCAACCCATACAGCCACCTTAGGGGCGTTTGGCAGTTTTTAAGAATATAAACACTTCCGGAAAAAAAAAAAAAGCAATCTGTAACTGTGTATAGAACACTCAGTGTACTTTAGAAACTTCTCAACGTTGTTACAAATTTAGTAGGAAGCTACTTTTTTTCCTGCAAACAAAATGGTAATGCTATTGATACTTTAATTAGGAATAATTAAAATAGATTTCTAATTTAAAAGTCCTCTATCATAGCATTTGAGCTCCTGCCAAATACTAATTTCATTTTTATGAAGATAAATTACTACATGGAATCTAGTTTTTTCATCTGTTTTATCATCATATATAAGCAAGTGTTCAGTTCAGAGGATCCACAAAACAGCTGCTCCAGATAACCCCATTCAGCAAAGGAAACAAAACACATCCAAGTGCTCATTACCAGTGTTAGATCACTATCTAAAAGATTAGAGTCCATAACACATAGGACTCTAGGTAATCAGCAGAATAATTACTTTTAAAAGATCTTTACGTTTCCTGTATCTTGACTCAGATCATCTGTGAACAAACTTAGCAACTCACTGATGCAAATAAATGCACAAAGTAAAAGGCAGCCCTTACTAAGTGAGCGTCTGAAGGTGCAAACGAGGAATGGTACAAAAGGTACTACTAGAGATAAACAGAGTCACATTGCTAAACAGCATATTTGAATATAACTGCTCTGTTAGTAGGAAGCAAAATCGTTTTGTAAACTGTAAACGAAGGCAACAATATATGCAGGCAAGCAATGAAAAAGAACATAATTATACTTCCCAGTTAAAGCAGCGAATTGTGGAAATGTCTCTGGAATATGAGCTCAAGCAGGAACAGAGGTCTGCAGACTGGTGTTCAAGGCGACACAGGAAATTACACTAAAAGGTTTGAAGAGGAAATTAGTCCCTTTCAGCATGGATAGATAAAATGGATCACACAGTAGCAAAATTCAATTAAAATATGTATTCAAAAGACAAACTTTATTCATTTTTTCACCAAGTAAAACATGTCTGACTCTGGGTTTCATTAAGAGACTACACTCTTGGAAGATAAGCCTTCACTAGGTCAATGATGAAGGGCAGATGTAGATCTAAATTTTTTCAGAAAACAAAAATTCAGCAATTTACTGTCATTAAAGCAGCTTACACTGCTAATTCAGGATCTTTTAAATTCCTGATCCAGCACTAGAATAAAATTATTGAAATAGATGAGGAAAATTACGCACTGGATTATTACGCTCGGTATTCAAAGGTAACATTTTTAGAATTTACAGTTGCTGATCACGCAGTCTAAAAGATAAAGTCTATATATGATAGAACTGAGATACTAATAATTACAGGTAATTGACTATAGTCTGCAGTGGAACTTTTTGGCAAGCACCTATGAACACAATACCACTGAGGATTTTCTGCCTGCCATAGTATGTGCACGCTGTATTTCCTAGAAACTCCCAGGCCTTTAAGATGTACCTGTTACTGTACAGATTTAGGACTTTGGCAAAGTTCTGGTGTTTTACTAGAGCCCTAAACATCACTAACAGGCAATGTGTGTCAACCTGTTTTAGTTGAAGAGTTAAAGTCAATGGGTCACTTTCTGTTCCATGGAACGGGAGCGTACAGCTTCCTTTTAATTTCCAGTCATGATACGGATCACTCTTAGCTGTTCTGTGGGTGAGCAGCAGGCTGCAAGCCATAGCTTAATATTATGAAACAGCAAAGGGATGCATCTGTGGCCTGCGATGAGCAGAAGCGTCAGCAAAGAGAGAACACGGTCTGTACGCTTTTTGGACTAAACATGAATTACGTGAAGGCTGATTGCAGCCTACCCCCATCACATACCAGAAAAGAATTAAGTAACACTCAACCAAAAAATAATCACACCGCAACTCTTTCTTTCATGATAGTCTCCCAAAATTGCGCGTATTGTAATTTCTGGTTGGGATACGTCTAGCAGCACTGCTTCCTTGGGCTGAGAGTTTCCTTGCAAGTACCTGTGGTACCGCTCTGACAGCTCAGTTCTCCAACACGGAGTATTTCTCTCTTTTGAAGCGCCCCTCAAACATTTCTGTGGCAACACTCTGCTCAGTCATACCTTCCCGCCCGCTCTCGCACGCTGCTTCGCAAATACTAGCGCGGCTGCCCGCTCTTCCACGGCCTCTCCTCCACCGCCGCCGGCAAGCGGAGAAAGCTCCGGCGCCGCTGGGGAATCGCCTCAGGACCGCGGGCGGGCTGCCGGCCTCGCTGTGACGTGAGGCGCACGCCCCAAGGGGCTGGTTGCCGCGCCCGCCCGCTCCTCCCCGGGGCGCGGGACGCATACTCGTCCCCGCCCCTTTCCCCGCA